GGGGGGTGTACAGGGACAATGATGGCATGCTTGGACTTGTAGTTCCTTAGCTGATAAATATGTGTGGGGGTGGGGGGTACAGTTCTAGCGGATGTTTATATAATATGGGGGGGGGGGGCGAAAAAAATGTTCTGCCCCGGGCGCCCATAACTCTGGTTACGCCACTGTATCTGCCCAAAAACGTGGCAATTTAACAATGAGACTTACTAGTTAAAATATATCATTCTACTTTGTGTGATTTTTTTTTTCTTACCATGAATTAACCTCATAATCTAAACAAAAAAAGACATGCTGTGCCCTTGCAAAAGAGCACCAACAGGCAATGAGCATGAAATATTGCATTGCCCATTGTTTTACGACCTCCCTGTGACTACACTATAGGCCCTGAATCACATTTATATTTGACTTCACCTCAATTTTGTTTCAGGAGACCCAGTAGAATGTTCAAATCAACCAGGAAAGGTTATATGATCATTTTGTGTTGTACAGTTATCGTGGGGTTTAGCTACATCGCTCATCTAAACTTAAGTCAGGTAGGTTCTTTGCTGTAGACCTCACTGTTAAATTGTGTCTGTGGGAAAGGCTAAGTGTGTAACAGTAGAAATGTTGACCATTTTCCATCAGCTTTTGAAATTTCACATTTTCAATGTAAAAAATGAAGTGGCACCTGCCTGTCAACACATTGGGTACATTGAGACAGCAACGGAACCCCAAACCATCGATCAGCAAGTAACCAAGATAATGACTCTAATAAATTGTACAATTCCCCAAAAGGATACCGTGTATTTCAATGAAACCACCAGCGCACGCAATAGCACAGCGACAATATTAAATTATAAGCCTAAATACTGTGTTGGAGACAGCTTGATTGTTCAGGTTGAGATGTTCAATTATTTGGGGAAAGGGAAGACGTATGGAGGAGACTTCTTACAAGCCCGGATCTTTTCACCAAAGCTTCAAGCTGGGGCTTCTGGAAGAATTGAGGACTTCAACAACGGAACTTATAATATCTATTTTACATTATTTTGGAATGGAGAAGTACAAATATCCATTCTCCTAATGCACCCCAGTGAAGGGGTAGCTCTTTTGTGGAAAGGGAGGAATATGGGATCCAGTTTGATCAGATACACAGGAAAGTTCCTTAATAAAAGACAGGAAGTTCATACGGAATGTGGCTTGCACTTGAATTCCCAACAGGAAAAATGTAAATATACAGACAGGAAATATAGAGAAGTTTTCTACTGCACCAAGTTACCAGGAGTACCTTGTGAGGCTTTCATATCATTAAAAAGTGGGAACTCACCGTATACATCCCTCACTAACATCAACAAGACTCTCTTTTCCAAGTAAGTACTTCCTATGTTTACTATTTATTACTAGTATAGTTTGGATTTTAGTTGATAAAGTACCAAATCTGTTTATAGGCATGTTTGAAAAGAGAATCATTCATTAAAAGAAGAATTATATTTCAGACTATTTTAGGTAACCCTGTTGCACAGTTGGGCTATTCAAACTGACCATATGGTAAAAAGTGCATAAGTATTATTATTATTATTACATAGTATTTATATAGCGCCAACATTTTGCACAGCGCTTTACAATATCAGGAAGACATTACAATCACAATACAATTGAAAACAAGATGGTAAGGAGGGCCCTGCCCCTGGGGGCTTACAATCTAAAAGGGGAGGGGGAAGTGATACATGAGGAGGTAGCTGTGTGGGGATGAATTGTTTGAGAGTAGGGGTTTACCTAAAGGGAACCTGTGACCAGGCTATTGGAATTCAATTATTTATTTAGTCCTACCAAGAGGTGAATGTGTTGTTTTAAAACAAGAAACAAGCCATCACTAACCTTTGTAGCTGCAGGCACTGGGGAGCAATATATCTTCTAAGTTCAGAACAGAATTAATAATGACTTTTCAATACGTATCTCTCAACAACTCAGTCCTCCCTGCTCCCCTTTCCAGTGCACCTGCTCTGCAATGCATTTACATTAGAGATTAGAAAGCCGGAATGCTGCTTACTAACTCAGTTGATGTTGTGTATTTGGGGCACAAAAACACTTTTGTATGTCAATCTCCACATTTAGGGAGGTCTATGGAGGAGTATAAACACTTGTATGTTTGTGGGGGGAGGGGGGAGGGGGTTGGGAGTGCTTCACTAATAATTACTAGTAATTAACCAATAACTAATAATATTCAATTTGAGCAAAGAATAGGCAAGTGTAGCATTCATTTAACATTCAACTGCTTACTCACTGCCAAGAGAGGGCTGAGCTGCTGAAAGAACCACTTCTTTTGTAACATTTAAGGCTGAATTGCTCTAGAGACACTGCATCTGTCTTTTTTTTAATCTAAAATGTGCATATCAAAATGACTTACAGATCCAGATCTCTGATGTTATATGCAATTCTAAAGCCCAACGGAAGTCTGGGCATTTATTACTGTGGTGCAAACAGGTTACATGTGTTTCTTTACATACTAAGTGCTGCAGCACAGGTTAAAGGGCAAGTCCACTTTCCAAGGTTGATCCAGGAAAATGGAATTATACCCTCCAATCTGCCCCCTCTCTCTGCCCCAAATACCCCCCCCCGCTATTCTTTCCTTTCGGTGAATGCTCCTTACCCTTCACCGGTAAAGGTGTACTATCCGTACCCCATACTGCCGCGTAGCGCAGTCCTGCACTCTGGATTTTGAATTTCGCTGCCCCGTACCTCGCTGGCCTGGTATGGGGGGGGGGGGACATCCCCCCCTTTCTTGCCTTGCCAGGCCTGTGCTCGGATCAAGGGTCTGGTATGAAATTTTAGGGGGGACCCCATGTTTTTCCCCCCCCCTCCATTTTTGAGGGTAGGGTTCCTCAAAATTCCTACCAGACCTGTTATGACTTTGAGGGGGAACTGAATTTTTGCCTGCAAAAAAAGGAGCGCTCACCGAAAGGTAAGTATAGCAAGGGGAGAGAGGGGGCCCAGATTGGAGGGGGTAATTCCATTTTCCCAAATTTACCTGTGAAAGTGGACTTACCCTTTAATATGCACTGCCCTTGCAGCATGCTGTGCAAGCAGGGCTGTGGACTGGAGCAGTGTGCAGGGGCAGGTGTCTGACCACTGGAGACCCAGACCATTGTGAGAGCAGCAGTCTAGCTCTCCAGTATGCTGCTAGCACAGGTATTTTGGTAGCACTTAGTATGAAGAAAAAAAAACAGCAATAAAAGGATGTTTATTGCTGTATACACATTTATTGTTTTCTGTAAATGTCTAGTTTGTTTCTATAAAAGTTTAATTTATGTCAGTCATTAAAGCCTCTCATGACACTAAAAGACCAATAACGAGACTGTAGGGTTGGAAAGGACCGAGCGTGCGTTTTAGAGCAAAGGATAAGATGTTTTATAAATGTTCTTTTGCCTTGATCTTTGTTTTAACTGCCATGTTTTTTTTATTAAAGTTAAAGGAGAACTATGAGGCGAGTGCTTTTCACTCACCTCATAGTTCTAGCCGACCTGTGACAATGAGACTGTCACAGGTCGGCTCAGTAGATCGGGAGGTGAGCGAACACATACCGGCATTCGCACACCTCTCGATCCTGTCACGGCTCTCTGCCGCTGGATTCCCCCCTCCCCGCTCCGATCCGCCAGCGCTGACTGGCGGAACGGACGGGGGAGGGGGCGGGTACAGCTGGCTCTGCCTCTAGATAGGCAGAGCCAGCTGTACTCACCACTCTGCTGCTGATGATAGCGGCTCCGACCCCCAGAGTCTGGGCACCTGCCAGGTTTAAAGATGGCCGCCGCGATTCGCAGTGGCCATCTTTAATGACTTTACAGTGACCTGCACCTGGAGTGTGCGGGTCACTGTAACCGGGACCTAGGCTCGCGTGCCACCAGAGGGGCCTCTGCGTGCCCTCTGTGGCACGCGTGCCATAGGTTCGCCACCGCTGCCCTAAGGAGAACTATGGGGAAAAGACTTAACCTCATAGTTCTCCTTTAACCTTTGCTTACACATTTTGATCATATGCCCAGTATGATGTCCTCGTGCATGTAACAAATAGAGAGGGAGAATACACCCAGTACACAGAAACCTATAAAAACCTGGAATTAAAAAAGAAAAAAGGCACTGGATCATTTGTATTATTGAATCCCGAGACTTGTATAGGAGAGGGTTCAGTTTGAGCAAACTCTTTAGAAAGTAATAGCCATAGGGGTCTATTAGACCCCTAATGTCACCTAGGGACCCTCAAAGAAGCTGATAAAGCATAGATCTGCTTCATCAGCTTCTTCTCTATTTGCTGATATTCCCACCTTCTAAAAGACCACAACATCGAAAAAATAAAGGCAAAGCGTGTCACAGTTTTAGCTCCATGTCTCAGTAAAGGCTCATCCATATACACTGTGGCTTGAGAAGGAGTTTGTACGACAGAGAAACATGTGACAAGAATTTTCAGCCCCAGATGAAAGAAGTGTCTGATGAAGCCTGGCAAATTTGGCTACTTCAGTTTAGAGAAGTCATAGAGTAAGGCTAAAAATTCTAGCCTGTCCATTGGTTTCTGTGCTGTCAGCTGCACCGTGTCATTGGTTGCTGGGATGCTGTCAGCTACATGATGTCACTGGCATCTAGGATGCTGTCGGCTGCACAGTGTCATTGGTTGCTAGGACGCTTTCAGCTGCATGGTGTCATTGGTTGCTAGGATGCTGTTGGCTGCACAGTGTCATTGGTTTCTAGGATGCTGTTGCCTGCACAGTGTCATTGCTTTCTAGGATGGGATGGGCTGCACAATGCCATTGGTTGCTAGGATGCTGTTGGCTGCACAGTGTAATTGGTTTCTCTGATGCTGTCGGCTGCACAATGTCATTGGATTCTAGGATGCAGTCGGCTGCACAGTGTCATCGGTTTCTAGGACGCTGTCGGCTGCACAGAGTTATTGGTTTCTAGGACGCTGTCGGCTACACAGTATTATCGGTTTACAGGACGCTACCGTCTGCAAAGTGTTATCGGTTTCTAAGATGCTGTCGGTTGCACAGAGTTATTGGTTTCTAGGATGCTGTTGGCTGATTGAGACTTGAGAGAAATATTTTTTCATATTTTCTGCAAGTACAGATTATACCAGCTGGCAGAAATCCATTGTGCTTATAATTTTCTGTGCACTGACTAGAGATCACAAACAATGTTATCACCGCTTCACATCTATAAACTACACACACACACACACTTGTTATGGAGATGAGGACAGAAGGAAATCTTTGTAGTCCAAATCAGGAGAGCAGCCTAGGATGACAACACTGCTCCTCCTTAGACACAGTGCAGTGAGTTAGCCTAGTCACCCCAGACAAGTTTGTTACTGGCAGGATCACCAGGTGAAAATAAAGAGGAAAAAAGCCTGAAAAAGAAAATGCAGCCAATACATCCCTTCCTGGGTTTAGATGAACCCAGGAAGCCACTGTATAAACATGCTATGAAAGCATATTAGCACCACTAAAATACTAAATGTATTTCTTGTTTTTCATTATTCTCAATTAAAGGTCCCAAATTGCCATAGAAATCCCCAAACAAGTTGGACGCATTGACGTTGTAAAATGCCCAAGTAAGTCTGCATTTTCATATTATTTTTATTGTTGATAATTAAATAGTTGGCGGCATATTTGGGTGTCATGTCTGCGCTCGGATCCACAGCGACATGAGCAGTCATTTTGGGGTTAGCTAAGTTAGTGTTCACTGTAAACACCCAATCAGGTGCAAGAGAAATGATCAAATCAGAATTTCTAACTATCTCTGTGTAAAAGTAGAACCACATGGGCATGTGCAGAGGAAAGAAGAAATTAAGAGTTTCTTGACTCTATGTCATTCAACTCCTGCAGTTCAGCACTATTCACAACACAGGCTATTCACTGCAAAGCAGTAAAATTACACAAGTGAATATGTAGTCCAAAATAGTACTACTAGAAGTACTGTAGTCTAATAGTTCAAAGTCTTTTAAGGCTGTACTATAGCCTTCCTTTTAGTCTTGTGCAGGCTCCTTTCTTGGACTAAAATTATGTATTTTGATTCTACTGCACACTGTGAGCTTCTCACAATGCTCATTGGAAGCTGCAGCAAGGCAGATAGAGCCCACCTCATTTTATCTAGTTTTTTCTTCCCCAGCCTGGTTGTCCCTGGCCCATCCCTTTCATTTTTTGGATTTCATTTTGTTCAATTATGAAAGCTCAGCATCACCCAGGGTGGTCTTTATTGCAGTCTGCGGTCCTAGTGGGCAAATTCACCTTTGCTATTTGATCTCCTGGCCATTGTCACCAGGACTGAAGTGAGTGAAAAAATTATACAGTTGCCACCAGAACAGGAGTACAAAGGAATTTCTTAAATTGGGGACACCTGTTCGGTTTATAAAGATGTCAAGTCCTCTCACTTTATGGAGATGGCCACTCATTTCTTGTTGGGGCAGGAAGTAAGGGAAACTCTAATCCATGGAGACATAGACAGCAAAAGGAATCTAACCTAGCCTTTCTCAACTAGGTTTCCTTGAGCTGTGTTCGGCTGATCTCCCATCTTATGGTGTCTGCTTAGGTTTGGGGCCAAGAACATTTGGTAGAACCAGCAGCATGGCCCCTGTTAAGCTTCCTGCCCTGGTACTGGCCCTGGCCCATGAGTGCCTTATATGGCTTTGTGTACCATGGTGATCACACCAAGGGGCTGGTTGTCAAAGTAGTTCAACTTTTTTTACTCTCTGTAAAGGTAGCATTCTGACCACCACTGTAATTCTTACAACCAGTGTAAGTGATATTCTTCCCACTGACCCCTGCTGAATTATTTTTGGGGGATTCTTGAGACCCGAAAATGATTTCAAGGGTTCCTCTATGGTTAGAAAGTAGGGAAAGGCTTTTTCTAACCTTCACTCTATCCAAAATGGAAACAAAAAACTGTACAATGTGGCATTAAAAACCGCGCATCAAACACCATAAAGCCGAGATTATCTAACCTGGCTAGCTTGTTCAGCTTATTTACAATGCGCTTATATCCATACATATACACATAGCTTGTGCAGTTTGTATAGTAACAAAGGCCCAGAGCGAGAAACAGTAAATACCTCAATGCGTTTCACAATATCCGTGCCATGGTTCCCATGGTTTCTGCACCCAGTTGACTGGGCGCATGCGCGATTGGACTGCCCGACGCTATGCCGTTGGGTGCTAAGCACAGGATGATGACATCAGGTATCGGCATGCATGCTGTGATGGTGGCTATGGCGCCATTTTCATGGCATGGCGGAGCATATATAAGGGGAAGGTTAGCTAGGTTAAGGTAGCCTATTTGGGCACCTCCATACCTACTGTGCTGCATTACTCAGGCAACTCCCCCCCCCCCCCCCTTCCAAGAGAGAGAACATCCTCCCTTGAGTTTAATAAAAATTGATTTTTCTAATGAATAAAGTTGTATGTGTACCATTAAAGACCACCAGGGTTCCAGTAAACCTGTTTTTCTTGTTTCATTTCTTAAGTAGTAAATATTCAGATTTGGTACATTCCTCTTTTTTTTTACTAAGGTAGTAAACATTATATTTTGTGCAATATACCATAAAATATGGTATTTTACCATAAAATATACCATTACATATAGAAAAGTATAGCGTGTCTCAAAGGTCACAACGCAAAAAAACAAACACAAATAAAAACGGTCATAAATGGCATAGTACGAATGTTTGAAGTTTAACAACTGTTTCTTGAGATAATAAATCTATATGTTATACAATAACAAATCCAATAAAAAGAACCAGTAACTTGATGATGAGGGTCACACGCTTCCAAGAGCTACCAGTAACAAGGAGAAGAACAGAGGGAGGAATGCCTCCATCTAAAGGTGAAGGAGACACACCTGGGAGAAGAACTGTAATGTCCAAGAGAGAAAAACATACTACTAACTGGAAACCAGATCAGCAAAATGAATAAAGGGAAAGAAAGGAAGGAAGGAAGGACAGGAGAGAAAAAGAAGAGAGAGTAAAGAGTACGGTCCATCTAGGGTTCCACCCCCAGCCCAGGGATCTACATTCGTAGAAGGTCCTAGTTCAAGACAAGGGAGCATAGGTAGTCCAACCAAGGTGACCAAACCTGAAGGAATGTTCCTTACCATCTTGTCTTGATTTGTATTGTGATTGTAATGTCTTCCCTATATTGTAAAGCGCTGCGCAAACTGTTGGCGCTATAGAAATCCTGTATAATAATATAATAAGAATACTATAAGAATTGTTCAAAACCAGTTTGATATTTAATTATAGATCAAATGTGAAATTCACAGTTATACTTGTGTACTAAAAAAAAAACAAAAGCGCTAATTGAACTTAAAAAAAAAAAAACCCCAACTTATTCTGCTGACACAATTCTTTTTCAGAAACACCTGAGAATGTGACTTCAAAATGCCAAACTGGGACCTCTCTTCCCTTCCCTAGTGGTTACTTCTTAAAAAACCAATGGCTCTCCACACATTGCAATCTTGCTTCCTTTGAGCCCTTGTTAAACATAAATAAATGTTTGGCCGGCAAAATGATATATTTGATGGGGGATTCAACAATTCGTCAATGGATAGAATTCTTCCCAAAGGTCATAAAGAGTAAGTATCCAAGTTGTGTTGGACGTTTGGAAACCTAAAAGTGTAATCCCAGGGAACATGGGAATTATATAGCGAGCTTCAGGTAACATATTGTCAAAAAGTCTACTTAATTTATCTTAGTTCTTTGCAGCTTTGACTGTGCAAGCTCTCAAGTGTGCTGCTTGGGCCGCACTGCAGCTTCTTGTCACATGGATCTCTGCCTTGCAACTTACCTTTTACTCTCTTTCTGAGACTGCAGTGGCCTGGGTTGAGAATTCCTGGCCTGCAAATGGTGTTTCTAGAGCACCAGCATGCTGGCAGCTAAAGTAGGCACACTATAACAACCAATGAGGCTGAGGGGCTGTTTGTATGCTCAACGAACTGTGAACAGCTTAGTTTGGGGCACACACACACACAATTTTAAATTTGGTACATACCTGGTTAACATCTGGCTATAATGAACAAATCCTGCTGGACGGGTAGGGACCAGTGTCCCCAGGCATTGATAGGCAAATGCAGTGTGCTTTGGACATCAGTTTGAGATCCTTTAAAATTCATTGACAGGTGCATTGACCCAGGGACCTGCGGTGAGGTCCATGGCAGATGAGGCACACACGGCCAGGTCTTTGCCCGCCCCAGGATTGATAATTGAGTTACATGTGGTGGAGGGAAGGAGGAGGGAGGGAGGAGACAGGAAGGAGCCTCCGTGTCCCTCACTTGCTCGTCACTGATGAGGCATTTAGATGGATACCGTCAGTGTTTTTTCTTTCAGTTCTAAAGCTAGGAAAAGCCTGTTGACACCAAAACCTGCTGAAATATATAAATAGGATCACACTAAACATTTTACAGATAAAAAAAAAGCATTAGATTATTGGTTTGAATCACTAAGTGCCCATTTAACTGGCTGCCCTTCTGAGTGACACCCCAATGCACTTTCTCATGCTGCATGCTAAATTCTAGGTCCAATGCGGTGTACTGGGCAGCCCAAAAAATTGGGCTGCCCTAACGCTATGCTAATTAACGCACAAACGTGAATGTGTGAATAGACCCTAAGGTACTAGTAATAATCTGACTTCAATGACACTTGTTACATATCAAATAACACTATAAAAAAAAAACTATTATGTTTCCGTATAGTGATATACAGACTATAGAGCTGTACATACTGTAAATAGCATATCTACAGCACCATCTAGTGGTGACTAAAGTTAAACCCAAAGATCTACATTCAGAAAGTGCTAAGGAGATAGTTATCCTAATCCCTATTCATAATATAACCCTGATATACAAATAAATAGATAATAAATATTATTATAATCAAAGAACATCTTTTTAATAAGTAATACTGTTTATAAATAAATACTGCCTGTGGAAGTCTAGTAACTTTTGTTAGACAACAATCTTTTTCTCCAGTCACCTCCGCTTATTACCCTCTGCACTGCAATACAGTCAAAAAATGGGCAGCTGCTCAAATCAATTTTTAACTGGCAAAAAGGAGATGCATGTGGGTAGAGAAATACACTGAACTATAGGGCTGCAACTAATGATTATTTTCATAATTGATTTCTTGACCGGCTTTTTTTTTCGATTAATCAGATAAAAAAATAAAAATAAATACCATCTTTTATTTAAAATAAAATACACAGATTTTTGGCTAACAGAGTGTTTGTTCCATACTTCAGCAAATACATGTAGAGCCACAATGCAGAATCAAGGTACCTGTGCAAAGTTAAATCACCTAGGGACATACACTATGTTGCCAAAAGTATTGGGACGCCTGCCTTTACATACACATGAACTTTAATGGCATCCCAGTCTTAGTCCGTAGGGTTCAATATTGAGTTGGCCCACCCTTTGCATCCATAACAGCTTCATCTCTTCTAGGAATGCGTCCACAAGGTTTAGGAGTGTGTCTATGGGGATGTTTGACCATTCTTCCAGAAGCGCATTTTTGAGTTCAGGTACTGATGTTGGACGAGAAGGCCGGGCTCGTAGTCTCCACTCTAATTCATCCCAAAGGTGTTCTATCGGGTTGAGGTCAGGACTCTGTGCAGGCCAGTCAAGTTCCTCCATGTTGGAACAGGAAGGGGCCATCCCCAAACTGTTCCCACAAAGTTGGGAGCATGAAATTGTCCAAAATGTCTTGGTATGCTGATGCCTTAACAGTTCCTTTCACTGGATTTAAGGGGCCAATCCCAACCCCTGAAAAACAACCGCATCCCATAATCCCCCTTCCACCAAACTTTACACTTGGCACAATGCAGTCAGGCAAGTACCGTTCTCCTGGCAACTGCCAAACCCAGACATGTCCATCGGATTGCCAGACAGAGAAGCGTGATTCATCACTCCAGAGAACACGTCTCCACTTCTCTAGAGTCCAGTGGCGGCGTGCCACTTTGCATTGTACTGACGCTTTGCATTGTACTTGGTGATGTAAGGCTTGGATGCAGCTGCTCGGCCTTGGAAACCCATTCCATGAAGCTCCCTATGTACTGGTGTGCCAATCTGAAGGCCACACAAAGTTTGGAGGTCTGTAGCTATTGACTCTGCAGACAGTTGGCGACTTCTGCTCGCTGTGCGCTTCAGCATGCGCTGACCCTGCTGTGTCATTTTACATGGCCTATCACTTTGTGGCTGAGTTGCTGTTGTTCCCAGTTGCTTCCACTTTGTTATAATACCACTAACAGGTGACCGTGGAATATTTAGTAGCAAGGAAATTTCACGGATGGACTTATTGCACATGTGGCAACCTATCACGGTACCACGCTTGAATTTACTGAGCTCCTGAGAGCGACCCATTCTTTCACAAATGTTGGTAGAAGCATCTGCATGCCTAGGTGCTTGATTATATACACCTGTGGCCATGGAGGTGATTGCGACACCTGAATCCAATGATTTGGAGGGGTGTCCCAATACTTTTGGCAATATAGTGTAAATAAAGAAATTAATACATTGAGAACAGGCGTAGCTGGAAGTAGCCCCATCCTCTTTAGGTATAATATACCAATGTGTATCTTCATAGTACCCTTTTACTACCCAATAAACTGAAGAAGCAATCATTCCCCCTTCGTCTTTAACAAAAATGTTTGGAAACGCTTGAAGTAGGGCTGCACCGATACCATTTTATCTAGACGGAGTATGAATACCGATACTTTTCCTCAGGCGCTCGCCGATACCAATCACCAATACCTTTTATTAGTGTCATGTGACAGTTTTTCTAAAACAATATATACTAATGATTTCAGGACAGTGGTGGAGCACCAGGGCCCTGTCGCAGCTGTGACCGCTGCGATCCTAGTAGTTCGAAGTTCAGTAGAGATAAGTAGAGATAGAGAATATGTTAAAAACAGAGTAATAAAAATTATGTTTTTTAAAATGCATAACAATTTGCTTTCTGATCTTTTTCTTTCACAGATCTGAAATTTTTTGATAACCACAGAGCTGGTTGGCACAAGACCTATTTGGCATTCGACTTACAGAACAATATATACATTCAGTGGAAGAAGCATGGACATCCATTTGTAACTCAGAGCTTCTTCAACGTCAAAGATCACTCCTACATCCCCAATGAACTGGACCGGCTTCCTGGTGGCCCCAACACAATTGTTGTGTTAGCTGTAGGACAGCACTTCCGGTGCTTTCCTTTTCCCCTGTTCATCAAAAGACTCCTCAGTATACGAAGGGCCATCGAGAGCCTGTTTTTACGAAGTCCAGATACAAAAGTTATCATAAAGTCTGAGAACACTAGGGAGATTAACACTGATGTAGAGAGATTCAGTGACTTTCATGGTTATATTCAGTACCTCTTAGTAAAGGACATCTTCAATGGACTTAATGTTGGGGTGATAGATGCTTGGGACATGTCCACAGCATTTGGCTCCAGAAATGTCCACCCGCCAGAACCTGTTGTTAAGAGTCAGGTCAACTTGTTCTTGTCTTATTTGTTAAATCTTTTTTTTTTTTTATATATATATGTTCACATTTGTTAAACTTTTAATATAAAATATTATTGTATTTAAAGTAGTATTCAACTCTCATTTGTAGTAGTCAACTCTCATTTGTAGTATTCAACTCTCATTTGTAGTATACAACTCTCATTTGTAGTATACAACTCTCATTTTTTTTAGTAATGAATCCAGATCTAACAAATATATTGTACATTGCCCAGCAAAATATTTCTTTACATTTTCCCTAAGCACATACAGCCATCATGTTTCCAAACAGCTGGCTCCAACTCTCTCAGCTCTTGCTTCCCTGCTCTTCCTGTCCAGTACAAAATCACAAGGGAGGGTGCAGACTCCAGCAGCTGTCCATCTAGAAGCTTGGAGAAGGGATCAGGGACAAGAGAGGGGAGCAAGGAGCAGGGACGTGGCTTGCTTTGCTGTGCCTTTGTATTTGTGGAGACACACATAACTATCTAGCACACATATGGGTGGCTCCATAGGACCCTCTAAAGGGAAAAGAGTCACCCTAAAATAGGATATCAGGGCCAGTGCTCAGGGGAACAGCTGATTCTACAGGAAGCTAACACTTTTAAACATCAGGGAGCAGAATTAATTGTAAGGGATTTAATTAGTATTTGAAATCGCTGAAAAACCTTTTGACTTTAATATCACTTTAAAGCTAAACTCAAGGCAAACGGTAAAAGACCGAGTGATGTAAATATATGGTTGATTTTATCTGATTTAAGATTTCTGTTTTGGTCAGACCATTCCTGATTTACAAAGCCCCATGAGGCAGCAGAGCTTCATTAGTGCACATATTGCACGTATTACAGTTCGGTCACATCCCCGCCCCAGCCTGTGATTGGACAGTGAATGGGCAGCATTGGACAGGATAAGCTTATACAGTACTTCTGCTGCCTTCTTTCTCTCGTTCACTGTCAGTACATCTGCATATAGCACACCCGATGGGCTCTTATTGCTGCCCTTACCCAGGGCCGGCCTTAGGCCTTTAGGCGCCCTGTGCGAGAAAGCTTTACAGCGCCCCTCAGTGGCCACACCCTTTAGTGGCCACGCCAACCTCTCCCAGTTTGAAATCTATTGTGTGGATTACATTAGGCTGCTATTCTAGCATACTAGCTGCATTTTAAAAATACTAATGATTTTTTCAGGGATATATTGGATACATAACTACAATACATAACTACAATAACTGGTATTTTTTATCTACCTCGAGTTCATAAAACTATGATATGGGTTTCAAATAAATTCTCTGTATTATTTATTGGCGCACTGTTCAATGTTGCACTTTGATGAAAGTATGGGTTCGACCTAAATCAAATCCTTCGTGGCTATGTATATATGTTTCTTATTTATTGATTTATTATGTAAAAGTCAAATTATGCAAATACATTCTTCATATTTACTTATTGTAGCCACCAGATGGTGAGCCCAAAGCAGAATATAGAAGATGGCTTATTAAGGCTTATAAACAAAATACTGTTGTGCAATATAGCTGAACTGCTGGAGAAATTGGATTTCATAGACAGCTGAAAGATTTACACAGGATAGATACACCTCTCCTAGCTGAGTGCAGTCAGATGGACCTGTCAATCTTAGGCTGCCCATTCATTGATTGAATTTCAGCTGTTTCTTGCTGGATCCCCCAAATGCGATCTGTAGGTGGTGCTGCCAGTTATCATTGTGTGTTATCAATTATCATTGTGCTCACCAAGGAGCTTGTATCAATCAAGGAGCTTGTATGCTCCTTGATCCTCTTGTAAAGTGCTGTGTAAATGATCAGTGCTACATAAATACCTGTAATAATGATAATTAGAGGGCATCAGGCAGCTGTAAAAAGAAATCGTGGACGGGTATGTGACACTCTAGGCAATGAAGGCCAGGCTAAAGCCACTGTATTATATGGGAGGGGTTGCAGTGTAAAAAACTTGGAGAAAGTGGGACTCAGACCACTAGGGGTGGTTATAGTATACATTTTTTTGCACCCAAACATGTCAGCTGATGCCCGTTGAACTGTCCAGCCACTGTACAATATTTGTGGCTATTGTCTCTCAAATAATACCCACTGATGATTATTTCAAGAAGAAAACCTGCCACGTTTTTCATTCTTATATTGTGGCCTAACCAAGCTGCTTGCATACTGTCCAGCCAGTGAACTACAGTATATGTGTGACTGTTATCTCTCAGATAATACAAATTCATTTTTATTACAAGATTAAACCTGCCTTGTCTCTTTCAATTTACGCGTTTGCTTACTATCCTGCTGCTAGTTAATTTCTACCAAACACATATTTGAAGTCTATTTTGAATTTTTTGTGAATAATTTGGGATTCAAAGATGGGAGGGAGTTCGGAAAATGCAGCTGAGGCTTTGGTTTTGAAGTATTTTTGTGCATTCTGGTGTGCTACTGGACAATTTCTACAAAGTGGAGGGTATTAGCTTCATTGTTTTAAAGGGTAATTCCACTTTCCCAGATGATTTTGACCCACTCTCCCCCCCCCTCCTTTCTGCAGACACTCCTTCCCCTTCGCCAGTTCAGGCATAGTATCCGTACCCTGTATGGGCCATGTAGCTTAGGCCTGCTCTCTGTATTTTAAGTAAAAAGCATTTTGTTCAACATTAAATTAAATTTGATTAGTTACACATCCAAAATATGTCATGGCAGAATATGGTGTCACTGATGCTATCCATAAAAATATATGGGGCTCTACTGAGCAGGCATGGTTAAACAATCCCCAGAGGATGCAGGCATCATATTGTAGGTAAGTATACATCTACAAAGGGGGAAGGTGGGATCTGTAAGGTCGGGGGGTTGTGGCGGCAAAAAGAATAAGTGCACATTGTCTGAAAGTGCACTTATTCTATCCCGTTCACACCAAATTCGGAAGGTAATCTTAACTCAATAGATGGTCTGTTGACTTCCGATTGTACCTTTCGATTTGCTTCCGATCCCTTGCATTGTGATCCATTTTTTAACGGATACTAACGCAAGGGCCCCGAAAAATGAATGGGTGTGAATGGGGCTAGTTCATGTAATTGCGTTGCATGTTCTACTTTTTTTAGCACAGCGTAAGGCAATGCAACACAACGCAACAGAGCGGTATGAACTGATCCCATTCACACCCATTCATTTTTGGGATACCGTCTGTTGGAATCCGTTGAAAAATGGATTGCAGTGGATCTGGCGTGAATGGGGCCTAAGGCCATCGCCTGGAGGCACAGGTCCCAGCTGCTCTGATTAAAGTGTCAGAACAGGGGTTTATCCATTTGTGATTGTGAATATTGATAACATGATAACATGATTAATCTGCTGCAGGTGTTTCTTATCTATTTACATACTAGTTTCCTTTAAGTTTCTCTTTGTTTTGGTCATATTAAGTGCCTTATGCTAAGTGATCTCTATGGCAAATTTAGGGCCCATCCACACTGGGGTGATATGTTAATTACATAGTTCTGTGTGACCAATGCGTCATAGCGCACAATTCACCTACCATGCGTTAACAGTGCAGGACGTGCATTGTGTTGCAATAGATTTGAATGGCACCCCAAATGCACCTACTGCCTGCAATGCTATCGATCACACCGCAATGCGCGGTACTGAGAAACCATGAGTTGTATTGTGATTTTAAAAAGTAGTGCATGCACTACTTTTGTAATAACACTGCACTGCAACACATTGGAAGCATTGTGGGCAGGAGATGAGTTTGGGGTGCCATTGAAATGCAACGGCACTCACCTCTGACACTGTTAGCTCAGGGTAGGTGCATTGTGTAGTAAGATGCGTTCATCACATGGAACCGGTGTGAATGGGCCCTTTTTCAGTGCACCAATAAATGCTTCCTGAAAGTATTGCGCTGAAAAGGCACTCTTAAACCCTAAAGTATAGAATCTGATATGGCCAGAAAAGCTCTAAAATATTATTTTTATTCTACCTCCTTAATAAAAATGCATACAAATTATTAATATGAAATATGTGCACACCAATCTCAAAAATCAACACTAATAAAAATACCTAAATACAGCACTGCCTTTGGTGTGTGGGAGGAGACAGGGAGGAGCCTCCCACAGAGCTCAAGCCTCTGACTCCAAGTCAGAGACTTTTCTAGCTCTGACCTCACTGGGTTAGGTTACACACAGCACCAGGGAAGCCCGCTGCTGTGTAACCAAACATATCTGTCAAAAAGCCAGATAAAGCGCCGCCTGTAATTAGTCGGCTGCGCTCCGTCCACGACAGAGGTTACACAGAGGGGAGGCTTTCGCTGCAGTGTCCCCATGCTGCGTTATGCCTTGGGAGTCATCTTAGATGGGCACCCATTTCTAGTAAGAGAACCCACAGTACTAAAATGTCTCCATTTATAGACTATTTATCTAACTGTTGACTGATAGACCCCTAAACACTTTGAGATTGCTTTGTATCCCTTTCCAGCCTTATGCTGGACTCATGATTGTATGCATTCAGAGAGCTCCTTTTTGCGAGGCATGGTTCACATGATGCTTCTTATGAACAGCAATTTTTAAATGTTTGAGTGTCTTTTATCAATCAAAGTAGATCTCAACCATACTTCCAAACTCATTTCATTTCATTCCATTGGACTCCAGGTGTGCAAGCTACTGACTCCAATTAGCTTTTGTTAAAGTAATTAGCACACTTACTTTTTCCTCCAGCACTCTGAATTTTTAATGGGTATGTAAGATAAAGAAACAAGACATTAGAATTGTTTTTGCGCTATCAGCTTAAGCACATTGTGTTTGTCTATTGTTGTGACTTAGATCAGATCACATTTTATGGCACATTACGGCAGAAAACCAGTTAATTCCAAGGTGCTCACATACCTATTCTTGCAACTGTACCTCGAATGCAAAGTGTTTGTTTTTGGAATATGTTTTGTCTCTGTTTCTTTTAGACTCTGTAAGTACTTAAAAACAAATTTTTTACTTTTCTGTCACTTTTTTCCCCCTGTCTCTGGTTACGGGGAGGGGTTCATTGATCCCAAGTGTCTCTTATTAAGCAAGTGCACAACTCACATTGAGCTTGCTCACAGAGGCTTGTGAAGAAAGTGGCAATAAAACATTGAAGTTTAACCTGTAAGTACTATCTTTAATTTCCTATAACTAATATAAACATTGTAACTGGGATAATGTACACTAGCATGGTGGAAGGGTTTGTTCAATGCACACTGTGCCACATGTACAGTATACACATATGGAGCTCCAGGGTGAGTACCGCTGTGACAGATGAGAGCAGGTTGCACTCCTGGAAGCTCACATTAGAGATCTGGAAGAGCGAATAGGAACAATGAGGAGGCTTGACAAACTGGAGAGGAGTCTGCTGCGCCGGCAAAAAATTTGCTTCGGTTAGTTTCTGATTTTTCATTATTTACTTTTACATGATCCGCCATCCAGCTTCCTTATAATCAGGGCACACGGCACCAGTATCAGAAAAATACCGGTATCGGTGCATTCCTATTACAAATGTTCATATAAAAGAACATCTGGGTAGCAGGCAGGGCCGTATTTACTCTCTCTGCTGCCCCAGGGCCAGGTTTGTCAATGCGCCCTCCTACCCGCCAAACCTTCCCCCCCCCCCATGGAGAATGGCACACTTGCAGGCTGCATACAAGTGATCTCAGCGACATCACAAAAAAAGCGGCGGCTTCCACGCTGTACATTTAGCTCTGCTTGCCCAAAGCAGGGCTAAATGTAGAAAACAACTACCCGCCCGGTGCACGGAACTGCATGTCCCAGGCATCGGGAGATAGGAATTCCACACCCCTGCTGTCACTCTACTCCCTGCTGCCCCGAGGCCCGGCCTTGGTTGGCCTTGTGGGAAATCCGGCCCTGGTAGCAGTGACCATAATATTTCATTTAACTTAAGTTGCCAAAATGTGGAATAGACTTCCTCAGGAGAGAGCTCAGTTAAAGGAGAACTATGGGGTCAGGGCTTTTCCCCATAGTTCTCTTAAAGGTCATGAGAGAACACAAACTAGCGGTCTCCCGTCACCCAAAGCTTACTATACCGCGAGCTGCAGCTCGCGGTATACTGAGACGCCGCAGCCAGGACGGATCCCGACAATACTGTCTGGATCCACCCAGCTGCGGGATTGACAGCTGGATCTGCCTATCCAAAGGCAGAGCCAGCTTTGTACGCCCCCTGCCCCGTCCGTTTCGCCAGTCAGCGCTGGAGGATCGGACAGGGGAGGGGGGGAATCCCTGCAGGGAGCTGTGACTGACAGTCACGGCTCTCTGCAGGGAAAGATCGAGAAGTGAGAGAGCGACGGTATGTGTTCGCTCACTTCCCAGTCTACTGAGCCGACCTGTGACAGTTTCATTGTCACAGGTCGGCTCAGATTATGAGGCTGAGTGAAAATCACTCACATCATAATTCTCCTTTATTGTTTAAATGCACAGAATATTACTGGATATTGATTTCTTATAAGTAAAAAAAAATACACCAGAGATTGTTGATCCTAGAAATATGCAATTGCCATGTGGGGTCAGAAGCTAATTTTTCCCCCCTGTGGGAGAAAATTGAACCATATTTTATAAGGGTATTTTTGGCCTTCCTCTGGATCAACTAAGGTCATAGTGTTCTGTTTTAGGTTTTTTATTTTTTTCCCTATCTTTATGGGTTGAACTCGACGGACTTGTGTCTTTTTTCCACCTGACTAACTATGTAACTATGTGAAACCCTTATCACTAATGTTTCCAACCGATGCCTTTTTTTTCACACTTTGTAGTTATATGTCAACATCGAATTCTTTTTCCCAGACACAAAGTAAATAGTAGTCTTCCCAGGCACAGTTATGATGACAATGACCTTTGTAAGTGACAACTGGGACTTTTATTTTCCATCGTTTGATATGGGAAGATACACAAGGCTGTCAGATACACTTAGTGGCATCCAGAGAAATATTATGTAATATTATTTATATGTGTTACCTTTTTTTAACTTGCATCTGGATGAGGTTTGTAGAGAAGGGATTTACTTCCACCTGCCTGTAATCTGTAGATTAACATTTCCCTGCATTATGTACTTTGCAGAGCGAAGGTTAAAGCAGAACTCTGGGGATAAAATTCTTAACCCTTTCAGTGTGGTTATCCCACACTGCAAGGGTCAAGTGCTTGTTTGTGTCTAGGTTCAAAAATGACAAATATATACTCACGCGATCCTCGGATCTGGCCTGCTGGCACCTACAATGCTCCCTCTAGTCTCCTCTTCTGCTGCAGCAATGTTATGTCGCTCAGTGTCCTCACATCCTATACACATTGTATTGAACCTGATGACTCAGGGACCTTGGACTGCTGCAGTGAAGGGAGAAAGAGGCTCCAGGGACCGGTCTTAGAGCTGGCTGTCTCCCCAGATTGGGTGAATATACCTTTTATTTTTAACCCTAGACAAAAAGGAGCACTTAACCCTTGCATTGCGGGGGTAGCCCCACTGCAAGGGTTAAGAGTTCTTCTCTAAAGAGACCCTGTTGCCAGACCATTCTTTTGAAGAAAACTCTTTCCATAACATTATATGTGCATTTAACCTATTTAATGCAAGTTTTTTTTTTAATTGATGGGCCTGTATAAGTGGCTGTTGTGCTCTTTAAATGAGATTTGTACTCTTACACAACTTTATGGGAATGCAAAACCCGCTTGAAACAGGTCTGAAGGAGTTGAACTGTAACTGTGCTGTCAAATTGTAATTGTAATGTAACTGAGTGGCACAAAATAACAGACATGACCTATTTTTTTTCAGCCTACAAAGCTGTGATGACTACTACATGGAACCAAAAGTCTTTTCTGGCTGTTGCATTCATTACCATCTTGCTGATGAGCTTTACAGTGCATCGCTTCACAAAGGTATGTACTCATCACTGAAATTGTTAAAGTACCGTATTTTGCGGTCCATAAGACGCACCGGACCATAGGACGCAGGGAGGTCCGGCGCGCCTTATGGAGCACTCGAGACTGTAGCTTCTGTGACAGCTTCTATGACAGAAGCTGTGACAAAAGCTGCAGTTAGTGACCGCTGAGACAGGTGGCGCTGTGATTACAGCGCCACGGTCTCAGTGATGACACAGAGCAGGCGAAGAACGTCTATTCTTCGTCTGCTCTATGGTTATGTCGATCGTCGCCGCTGCTCGGTTTTAATACGAGTGATCTCATTAGATCACTCGTATTAAACGAGCAGTGGCTCCTGCTGCTGTACTCGATCGCCGCCGCCGCTGCTCGGCTTTAATACGAGTGATCTCGTTAGATCACTCGTATTAAACGAGCAGTGGCTCCTACTACTCGCCCGGCGCCCGAAACTGCATGTCTCGGGCATCGGGATTCGCTCCATAAGACGCAGGCACTTTTTCTCCCTCCTTTTGGCAGGAAAAAAGTGCGTCTTATGGAGCGAAAAATACGGTACATCTAAAGGCTCCTGTATGATAAGGCAAAACAAGTCCAAAATTCAGTTACTGTGTGATGCACAAGCATCATGAAGTTAATAAAAAACTTCTTTTAACTACTCTGACTGAGCCAACTCCTCTGTCATTTGTGTCTCAAACACTACCCCTATCAGACACTGCAGATCAGAGTGTAAGGGTTTCAGCAACAGAGGCAGAGCTGCTAATTCAGAAAACAGTGGGTGGCTAGTTGGGCCAAGTGCTGATTGATAAGCTACAGGCTTGTGAATGAGCAGTCGCACTGCTATTAGCAAATGGCTCCTGTAAAGGTGTTGCAATGCTGCTATGAATTCAGGAGCGGTGCAGCATTGTTGCAACACTGTCTCAGGAAGCCGCATTAGGTGGAATCAGGGGTGTCCCCATAATGAGGCATCTCATTGGCGGGGCAGCATCAAAAAAACGATTGACAGCTCAGCTGCCACCTCCCACCCAGCTAACAGCTTGGCTGGCTGCCACTTCCTGCATGGCTTACAGCTCGGCCAGATGATAGCTCCTGGCCAGCTGAAAGCTAGCCATTAACATCACTTTGAGACTTCTGCCAATCTGCATTTGATCTCCTTCTATGCTGCGTCAACCTGCTTCGAGCTGCTTATGCATTCCTGTTGACTTGTATGGGGAAAGAAGCTCTGATGCAGGCAAAAGTCCATCAATGCGGAACCTTATGGTACCAAGGCAGGGAAACAAAATAAGCAATCACTGGAATGTAAAGCTGGCCATAGACTGTTACAGATTCAGCCAATTTCTGTGATTTGACCAACATTCTAAACTTGGGTGGGTCTGCTGGCACCACCCAACTTAATAAACATTGAATGAAAATCAAAGGAGATGGGTGGAGATTTGTTGGCCGAACACCGAATGCATCCAGATACCTCCATCCATGGATGGGGAAACCGAGCAGTGTTACCTCCATCAGCTAGCTTTATGATAGAAAATATTTGTACTTCCAAGAGAGTTTTTTTATCTTTAAATCTTCCTATGGAACTAAGTACTGCATTGAAGTAATTTGTGTGGCACTTTACATGCTGACCACAACTACCAACCCCATGGTGATAAGGTCCATTAGGCTGAATTGCTACCATTCACGGGTAGGTGTTCTGCCCCATCAAAGGCTATGCGATAGCAATAAACAGCCAGTGTTTTGGACATTTTCCTACTGGCTTCCAAGACCAGTTAATGAGAAGGCATCAACATGGGACCCTGCAAACACAGTGTAATGATGTGGAGAGTGTTGCTGACGTCATTTCATCAGCATTTCTCCAATGTCTTTGAGGACCACTCATCACCAGGAGAAGATCCATAGAGCAAAAGAATACTGCATTTGGCCGGCCTCAATAAATTGGCAAAAGGTAAGTATAAACATTTTGTTTTTATACAATAGTGTGTGACAACCTTTATGGGGGTCTCGGCAGGAAAAGGGGGCCTGGAACCTGTAGTTGGGCTTCACGTTCTCAATTCCTAAATCCAACCGTTCCACCACATTGCTGCATATAATTTTCTCAAAACCTGGTGCTCTTTAGATATATCTTTATAACTATGTATTTGTTCCAGAGCACTGGTGCAGTCCTACACTCCATCAACCCTACTGTAAACCACGGGGCAAAACTTGAACCAGCTACCAACTTCTTAGAGGATGAAATTCAAGCTTCTCTCATCTTCAAAAACATTTCTGTCTTGGTTCCTTCTATTACATTCACCCACAAGGACAACACAACCAGCGCTAAAAAGAGCAGAGCCGCCATCCTGAACCCAAGGATAAAGTACTGTGTTGGAGAGACAATAATTGTTCAGGTTGAGATGTTTGATCATTCAGGTAACATGAAAACATATGGAGGAGACTTCATAAGAGCTAGGATTTTTTCCACAGGGCTTAAAGCTGCAGCTTCTGGGAGAATTGAAGATTTTAACAATGGAACCTATAATGTCCATTTCACTTTATTTTGGGAAGGAAAGGTTTTCTTTTCATTGGTCCTCTACCATCCAAGTGAGGCTGTTTCAGCATTGTGGAGAGCAAGGAACAGGGGCTATGGCCTAATTGACTTCATAGGAACATTTACTAATAGAACTCATGAGGTGAAGACCGAATGTGGATTCCAACTGAATACAACGAAGGACAAATGTCAATATAGCAATGAGGAATACAACGAGATATTTTACTGCACTAAGCCAGAATCTTTCCATTGTGGTTCATTAATATACCTTCAGTCTTTCAACAAAGCTCTCTCCTTTCTAAGCACAGATGAAAAATCTCTCTTCACCAGGTTAGTACACATCCAATTGAAACAGTATACATTTCTGAATAGAAAAACATATACAAATTATTGAAGACATGAATACAATATTATTATATTTATTTATTTTTATGAATATGTGCAATGGTAGAGATAGGGAGAAAGGCAGAATTTTCAAGTCCAAAGCAGGAGAGCCTTCTAGGGTGACAACGCTGCTTCTCCTTAAATACAATACCGTAAGGGAGTGTTGTCACCCTAGGACAGGAAGTATGTGATTGGCAGGATCACCAGGGGAAAATAAAGTAAAGGAAATCTAAGAAATGGTAAGCTGCAAAATGTTATATTCATGCTTTGGGGTTTGGATACACTTTAAAGGAGAACTATGAGGTGAGTGATTTTCACTCAACCTCGTAGTTCGAGCCGACGTGTGACAATTAAACTGTCACACGTCGGCTCAATAGATCGGGAAGTGAGCGAACACAAACCGTGGCTCGCTTACTTCTCGATCATCTCCCTGCAGAGAGTTGTGACTGACAGCCACGGCCCCCTGCAGGGTTTCCCCCCCCTTCCCCGCTCCGACCCGGCTGGTGGATCTCGACAGTAATGTCTGGATCCGTCCCGGCTGCGGCGATCTCAGTATACCGCTGGAGCTTTGGGTCACGGGAGGATGCTAGTATATGTCCTCCCATGACCCTTAGAACTATGCGGAAAAACACAGGCCTGGTTCACACCTGAATGTTTTGTAGCGCGTTCAACGCTCAACGAACGCTCTACAAAACTCTCAAACATCTAAATCCCATTGTATTCAATGAGTCTGGTTCACACCTTGCCGTATTTCGGCCCGTCCGAACGCGATACAAAACGGCCTACGCCCAAGGGGGGTTTTGGTCTCGCGTTTCCATTGGGATACAGCCAAGTAGCCCTTGGAAACGGGAATTTGTCGCGCTGTTTTTTTACCGCGAATCACGTTAAAAACGCGGGACGCGAAATGCGCGACAAACGCGCATATTCAATAAGCCTAGGTGTGAACCCAGCCTTACCACATATTTCTCCTTTAACTCTCTTTATGCTATGCAACCAAAGGGTTAAACAGAGCTGAATGGTTGACAATAGCATTTGCATTACATTATGGCAGTAAACATAACACCAACAACTGCAGTTGCCCATTAACATCCTCACTGTGCTCTCTCTGTTCTTGCGTAACATATCAGATATTAATTACATGCAAAGTACTCTTAATCTCTCTTTCATATAGTGCAAAAAATTAATTTATATGCTAACTAGTATTTCATCAGATTAATCAGATTAATTTAGATTATAATAAAAATGTACACACTGCTGATTCTAAAAAGCATTCTTTTACATAAATGACATATTACTATCTTGTGTATTACACAAAGGAGAAAACATTTCTGAGAATTGTGGTGAATTCCAATAAAGTACAATGTTACCATTTTTTCCCCAGGGGAAATATTGCTATTGAAATCCCCAAAAACTTTGAATCCATTGATGTGTCTTCATGTACACGTGAGTAATCCATCAGCTTTTGACATGTTTTTGAAATTACAATTATAATAATTGCATTTGGTTCCAGGGAACATTTCCACCTAGGGTTAATCCTGCTGTAACTTTGGGTGAGACTTTTTTTTTATTACCTAACACCCTTTAAACCACTTTACCATCTTTAACTGTAAAAAAAAATGAAATCAAGGCAACTGGACATGCTGTATTTTTCTTGAGGATGTTTCGCTAGTCATCTGACCAAATCAGAATTCAAATCAAATCAGAATTCTCAAATCAGAATTGAGAAAGCTAGTTGGATGACTAGTGAAACGTCCAAGAAATATACAACAAGTCCATTTGCCTTGATTTCTTTTTTACAGATATACCATGACCCGGATGAATGAGAACCTTCACAGACACTTTACCATCTGTCCCCTAATATGGAGTCCCCTAATTTGAATGATGAGGCTTCATAAGGCTGCATAATCTGTATCCGTGTGTAGCATCCCCAGTGTCTATAGTAGCTGCAACTTTTATAATCTTGGGTGGGGCTTAAAGGAGAACTATGGGGTCAGTGTTTTTCCCCATAGTTCTCCTAAGGGTCACGGGAGGACATAAACTAGCATCCTCCCATGACCCAAAGCTCAGTATACCGTGAGCTACAGCTGTCGAGATCCACCCAGCTGCGTGATTGACAGTGGCGACTCTAGGAACAATATGTAGGGGGACATGCCCTGCAGCTCCACCTGGGACCAGGAGCAAGTGTTAAAAAACGATCGTCCTCTAAGAGCAGAGGGAGAACTTACTGTGAGGAGCTTCACACACTTCATGACAGGCTCACAGTCCGCTACGGCCACAGTGCGGGCTCCGCAACTTCAAAGTCAGCAGCAGGGGGGCGGGGCTGACAATACAGCTACATCCAGATCTCTACAGACAGCAGCCGCTGGAGCTGCTCGTATACTAGCACCAGCACTGGAGCCACTGCACTGCTGCTTAATTCAGCGGGGGGGCACACACTGCAGGGAGCCATGAGTGACAGTCACGACTCTCTGCAGGTACAGGATCGAGAAGTGAGCGAGAGACGGTATGTGTTCGCTCACTTCCCGAGCTATTGAGCCGACCTGTGACAGTTTTATTGTCACACGTCGGCTCGAACTATGAGGTTGGGTGAAAATCACTCACCTCATAGTTCTCCTTTAAAGAGAGCCAGTCACTATTGAAGTTATACAAGAAACTGAACATTTTGGGCTTCAGTTATAAAAATGTGCCGTTCGCATTGCACTAGCTTTATGGATAAAGCCCAGTGCCAGATTTACTCTCTCTGCTGCCCCAAGGCCAGGTTCCTCAATGTGCCCCTCACCCCGCAATGGAGAATGGCAACCAGATGGCAGGAGTGGCAGGGTTGCATACAATTTATCTCTGCAACATCGCTGAGGTCACTTGCATAGTTACATAGTATTTGAGGTTGAATAAAGACGCAGGTCCATCAAGTCCAACCTATTGCGTGTGTGCATTTATGTTTGAGCAGATGTGTGCGTGTGTATGAGTCCATGTGTGATTTTGCTCTTAAGAGTACCTGTACCCCTTTATGTTACGGTCTCCAAGGAACTCGTCCAGGAGTTTCTTGAATGATTCCACACTCTTCGCTGAAATTACTTCCTGCGGCAGAGAGTTCCAGACCCTAACTGCTCTAACTGTGAAGAACCCCTTGCGCCCCGGGTGTAGGAATTTTTTCTACCAATTTTTGTTGGTGCCCTCTGGTCTTTGTTACGGAGCTAACTGTAAATATTTTGTTAATAATGTTGCTGTCGCTGTTGAACAGTTTATACAAGAAAATCATGTCCCCCCTTAATCTCCTAACTTCCAATGAGAACATATTTAATTTTAACAACCTTGTTTCATAGTTCTGGTCCTCCAGCCCCTTAATGAGTTTGGTTGCCCTCCGCTGGACTTTTTCCAGCTCAAGGACATCTTTTCTTAATATTGGTGACCAAAACTGGACCGCATACTCCAGATGTGGCCAAACCAGTGATCTGTAAAGTGGCAAAATTACAGACTTATCCTTGCAATACATTCCCCTCTTAATGCAAGACAGAACACTGCTTGCTTTGTTTACAGCAGCCTGGCACTGCGAGCTGTTATTCAATCTGCTGTCTATAATGACCCCCAAATCCTTCTCCGTTTCTGACTTCCCTAGTGGCATACCCATAAGTGTATAGTCCATTTGCCTGTTGTTAACTCCAAAGTGCATTACATTGCATTAATCGACGTTGAACTTCATCTGCCATACAGTTGCCCACTCCCCTAGTTTATCCAGGTCCTCCTGTAATGGTATAACATCTAAATCCGTGTCAATTACCCTCCCAATTTTCGTATCATCAGCAAACACTGAGACATGACTACTCACTCCCTCCCCGATATCATTAATAGACAGGTTAAAAAGCATGGGGCCCAGCACAGAATCCTGGGGCACGCCACTCATGACTTCAGCACAGTCTGAAAAGGTGCCATTTATCGATACTCTTTGTACACTTTCCTTTTGCCAGCTTTCTATCCACGTGCACACTAATTCATCTATGCCCATAGACCTTAGCTTGTATAACAAACGTTTATGTGGCACCGTATCGAATGCTTTGGAAAAGTCCAGATACACTACGTCCACCGCCCTCCCTCCATCCTGATCTCTACTCTTCGTAAAAGGTTAGCAGGTTGGTCTGGCAAGAATGATCCTTCCGAAATCCATGCTGGTTATCAGTTATTATGCCATGATCCGGGACGAATTCCACTAAGTAGTCCTTAATAATTCCCTCTAACAGTTTACATACTATGCACTTGAAAAACACGAGCAGCAGCTTCCCGGCTGTACATTTAGCCCTGCTTACCCAGAGCAGGGCTAAATGTAGAAAACTACCCACCCGTCACCTGGAACTGCATGTCTCAGGCGTCGGGAGATAGAAATTCCACACCCCTGCTGCTCCTCTACTCCCTGCTGCCCCGGGCCTCAGTTGGCCTTGTGGAAAATCCAGACCTGCCCTTAGCCTTCAATTTTTTTAATTCTACATACTTACCTATGAAATATTAATATCTGCTCCCTTATTTTGCATTACTTAGTATGTCTGAGGGTATGATTATAGTCAGAGGTAGGACCAATAAGGCTCTGTCGGCATTGGACAATGCTGTTCACCTGTCAGTAAGCTTCCTGACAAGAAGAGAGACGACTTAATCAGTACACTGTTGCATCTTCTTTGTCCAGTTACAGGCTAGGACAGGTACTAGACCAAGCTGCACACCTCAGCTGAAGGGTAGTCTCCAATTTAGTGAGTGAAGGAACCGGCTTGTCTGGCAGATCATGAGACTAAAAGAACTGCAAATCTTCTGTCAGGTAAGACAGTTCACAGATATTTAATTGAGGTTTTTTTTCATTTTGGCAGAATCATCTCCTCCTCCTCCTCTGGAACAATGCAAGATTGGAATGGTACCTCCATTTCCCAGTGGATTTGTGTTACAGAATAAATGGAGACCCGTATTCTGTCACCTTGCCAACTTCACACTCCATGAACAAATGTACAACTGTATAAAGGACAAAATGATTTATCTCATAGGAGACTCCACCGTTCGGCAATGGTATCTGTATTTAGCGAACACATTTAAAGGTAATGATCAAATGTTTTTTTTAATGAAGTTACTCAAAAAACACACTTTCAATATTTGCCACTTGAAAAACAGAAATCTGCAAAACGCAAAACAATCATTCAAAATTGATATTTTGCTGACCTGACTTCACTGATGGGAGTTCTACTTGCTTACTGTTGTTGGGTTTTCCCCATCATCATTTCTTTGTGTGCCCTCCTAAAGTGACACTAAACTCAGGAGTTAAATCTTAAAAATGCATTCAAATACCCCAACTATTAACAAAAATGTACTTAATGTACTATTTGTTTATCACCCAGCTGTAGATCCTCAAATCATCTCTGAATTGGTACTGACCGCTCCAAGCTCACTCCCGTGATGGACTACAATTTCATGTTTAGTGTACAAATTTGTATTGAGATTGTAGTCCTTCATGGGAGTGAGTTCTGAGCATTAGCTACTTTAAAACACATAGGGACCATGGGGAACAAAAGCAGCCACCCTCAAAAAACAAAGTCCAGGACGTTGTCAGTGCCATGCCAGATGTCAGATACCAAAACGCGTAGTCAGCTGAACTAGGTCAGGGAACACTGAGAGTAGGATGAATGGAAACAACAGCTATCAGGAACCAGGATATCAATCAGCCAGAGCTAGGGTCATACACAGAGAACAGGAACAACAGCAGAGCGCTTGGTAGATCTAAACACATGCAAGTGTGGAGACTAAATGGACAAGCTGATGGTTAAATAGTGAACTGGTGTTGCATCATCACTCTGAGACAGGAAGTTGCAAGGAGTTTGTTGGAAGTTGCAGAATTATGATGTTTATGGGTTTGGTCATAAGGGGACACCAAAAAGGAACAAACAGTGTCAGACACACTGCAACAGAAGACAGGCTGCAGCTCAACTGGACAAGGAAGGGTAAGAAACCCTGACATTGTGTTACAAACTTTCCACTCAATATTATCCATGAAGGTTTTTAGCTCATGACTGCCCTGTTTGTACAGTTACTATAAAAGTAAGGGTACCATGCTAGTTCAAATACAGTTTAAACCATGTGTTTTGTTTCATTTTTAAACCAGGATTTAAAAATTTTGATCTCCATCGAACGGGATTGGAGTCTATGCTCTTAGCGGTTGATCAGCAGGGGAACATCAAGCTACAGTGGAAAAAGCATAGCCATCCAATTATTGCAAGTCGGTTTTACTCTGTAAAAGATGACTACTATGTAAGTGAGCAAATAGACCAGCTGGATGGAGGTCCACACTATGTCATCGTTATCTGCCTGGGCCAAGACTTCAGACCTTTCCCCACCCACCTCTTCATCAAAAGAATTATGAACGTGCGCAAAGCTTTGGAACGTCTCTTCTTACGCAGTCCAGACACAAAGGTTATTATTAAAGCAGAGAACACCAGAGAGATGAATATAGATGCTGAGAGATTCAGTGACTTTCATGGGTATATTCAGTATCTTATAGTAAAGGACATCTTCAATGGTCTTCAGGTGGCTGTGGTTGATGCTTGGGACATGACCATTGCGTACAATACAAATAGTGTTCATCCTCCAGATAATGTTATCCAAGACCAAATATATATGTTTTTAACGTATATTTGCTAGTTGATAGTAGTTGCTGACTGAAGCCACGAAAATATCAGAAAAAAATGTAGAGAAGGACACGGGTTACTATTCATCAATACTTGAAATGTAAATACTAAAAATATGTGATAAAACTCTCTGGGCTGAGTTGAATAATGGCTTGGTTGGCAACAAAGCTGAGCATCTAAAGAAGAATGGATTATTTCTATGAATGTTTTTGGTTCATATGCTAAAACCAAGTGAAACATTTTTTTTTTGCATGACTACCTCTATTTACCACTAAACTATAGGGTGTCTATGGTCAAAAGCTAAAAATAAATCTGTATTTCTGTATTGCATTTCCATAAGTTCTATTACACTCATAATAACCATATCAGATTGTAAACTTGCTCATTGAAGATCCCCATATGATGTATTTCCTCAATGCACTGACACAATTTCACTCAGCCCTATGAATATGCACTTGGTTTCATAACTGCCTTCTGAACTACAACTCAACATCTGAACAATGTAACATCATCACTGCATGCTTGAAGCAATGGATGATGGGTTATGTAATCTTGAGAAATCAAGATTGCATCACCTCATATGCCTGGACTTTACAATGCCTTGAATATGCTCAGACTAAACCATGAAATGCAACTGAAGCCAAACCTTTTTTCAGTTTTAGATAGAGTGGAGAGGGATTAGAACCCATGCTAGGTTTGTATTGATGTATGTGTGCCCATTAGGGAGATGCACTCTCTCTATTTGTCCTGGTGAACATTATCCCTAAATGAAAGTAAAAGAAAATCTCACTATTTGAGTTGTCATCAGAACAGGAAAAGATGTAAAATCTTCCAGTGGGGACACTAGTGTCAGAGCACAATTAAAACCAGTAAGCGAAAGGTGCTAGTTAAAATATTTATTAAGAACAGTGTCCACAGGAGCAAGCAGAATCATAAACCGGAACAAGCCAGAGTCAGGAGCCGGAGTGGGTAGTCGTCTAAGCCAGGTCAGGAACGCTGAGCTCAGCGTCGTCAGGAACAAGCCAGGAGCAGGAGCCAGGAAATCAGCGTTGTCAGGAGCAAGCCAGGAGCAGGAGCCAGAGGAGAACGTCAGCCAGGATTGGGTCATACACAGAATCAGAATACTCAGAGCAGCAGGAATGCACTAGCAGGAAGACCATGCAAGGGCAAGGTCAGACTGGACTGAGTGGTTTATTTATAGTGAGTGGGATTACATCATCACTCAGAGACAGGAAAATCCCATCTGACTCTCTCAGATGATGCTTTCCTGTCTGGCCATAAGAGGAAGCCTAGGAGTAGTGAGCAATGTTCCAGAGTCTGCTCAGGCAAAGAAGGAAACACAGGTAAGTAAAATGGCAGCCAAGCCAGAGTGCTGCAAACCAATTAAGTCAGAGTGGAACCCTGACAACTAGTTCTGGTGACCCTGTTGACCATCAGGGATTTCACTCAATTTAAAGGGATTTCCTCTCACTTCCTCTTGTGGCTATTGGACAGGAAGTAGTGGGACATTTATCCTACGGGATACAGATGGCAAGAAAATAAACTGACGGGTCATTACCCTCCCTTACTTTATTGAAAACTAAAAACAAGGTTTGGGCTTCAGTTCTATGTTTAAATTTATGTTCAGCCAAAACTTATAATTTGTTTTATTTTTGTAGTTTGGAATAGAGTGGGGGCTGAGGAAGAATGGCACTCCTTGCAGGTTATCAGTGCAATCAGGGGCTCCGTTAGAGAGATTTCCCCTCAATTACCACCATAATTACAGAAAATTCCCCTCACTTACTGTCATGGTGATAATGTTCTCAACAAACAGGAAATTAGAGAAAATTTGCAACACTAGACAAATGGGTTTGTGTGCTGCAACCGCCTTCTTCAAATTGCACCAGAGAATTTCTATAGCGTTCGAGTCATGTGACTGTGATGACCACAGTATTATTATTATTATTATACAGGATTTATATAGCGCCAACAGTTTGCACAGCGCTTTACAATATAAGGAATACATTACAATCACAATACAAATCAAGACAAGATGGTAAGGGTGTGCTTACAATCTAAAAATCTTCCAGGACTTCTTCTGTAACCAAGCCGTGGTGGAATTTGAGGTATGCTTGGCATCAGTATCCTGTTGGAAGGACCATGTGATGCACAGGCTTCCTCACAGATGGCATGGCATTTCACCTAGAATTTCCTGATATTTCAATTAATCCATCATGACTTGGGCTGGGTTCACACCTTGGCGTATTGAATATGCGCGTTTGTCGCGCGTTTTTACCGCGATTCGCTTCTTGGCTGTATCCCAATGGAAACGCGAGACCAAAACGCCCCAAAGAAGTACAGGTACTTCTTTGGGCGCAGGCCGTTTTGTAGCGCGTTCAGACGGGCTGAAATATGGAAAGGTGTGAACCATACTCATAGAAAACAATGGGATTTTCAAGTTTGTACGTTTTGTAGAGCGTTCCTAGAGCGTTGAACGCGCGACAAAACGTAAAGGTGTGAACACGGCCATACACGTGCATGAGGTTTCCAGTGCTAGAGGATGCAAAGCAGCCCCACAGCATCACCGTGCCACCATCATACCTAACTGTAGGCAGAGTGTTCTTTTCAGCGTATGCTGCATTCTTCTTCCTTCAGACATACAGCTGATCCATAGGGCCGTTCATATTTTGTTTCATAGCTCCACAGAACAGAATCCCCAAACTTCTGTGGCTTATTTATGATTTTAAGCATATTGTAGCCAACTTTCTTCTGCTTTTGGGTCAGTAGCGGTGTAGGTCTTGGAGCTCTAGCATGGAAACCTCCTGCGTTTAATACGCATCTTACTGAGCAAACTGAAACCTCAGTGCCTGTTACCCCCAAGTCTTGCTGCAGGTCTTTTAAAGTCACTCGAGGGTTTTTCTCAACCTGCCTTCTCGGAAATCTGGTTGCAGTCATTGATGGCTTCCTTTTTCTGCCCCGTCCAGGTAGTGCTTCTTTAACATTGAACTTCAGAACTATGCTTCCAATGGTGTCTCTAGGAACATTCAGTGCCTTTGCTATCTTTTTGTATCCTGTTCCTTGTTTGTGAAGGGTGATGATTTCTTCTCTTAACTTTTTTGACCATTGTTTTGATTTAGCCATATTTCTAAAGGTGCCCATACACCTACCTTGCTTTTGTTTTTATATGTTCATTGCAAACAACTGAAAGTTTGTAAATATTGCCAATAAACCTGATTTGCAATGGGGGTTGAATCATTTTGATTACAACTCTATTTTTATATGACAATTGATTTTAACTTCTTTTTAAAAAAAAAAAAAATGGTGGAAGATTTCGTAAAATAATTATAGTGCACAATATCTCAAGATTTAGTAAAAATAGCTATACACAGTATATAGCTTTAATTTTCTATGCTACCATGAAACATTTTTGATCTGTGTTTGCAAAAGACATTTCTTAAACTTCGTTTGAGCGTTCATATTTCACACATTGCAGATGGATTTATAAATGATTGCACAAGCCATTATGGTCTTTATGTGTTATAAACAAGATTATCAGACACATGTCTAGTTACATTATTTTCACCCAAAATCCATACAGCTCTCAACTAGGGTTGCCACCTTTTCTTCAAGTGAAATCCAAACACTCTAGCGCAGCACTGCATTTTGTGGGGGAGAATATACAGCAGAGAGCGAGGAGAGATAGCAATGAGAGAGAGCCAAGAGAGACAGCCAGGGAAGAAAAGAGAGAAAGCCAGGGGAGAGAGCGGAGACAGCCAGGAGTGAGAGTGAGGAGAGACAGCCAGGAGAGAGAGCGAGGAGAGACAGCCAGGAGAGAGAGAGAGGAGAGACAGCCAGGGGAGAGAGAGGAGAGACAGCAAGGGGAGAGAGCAAAGAGAGAAAACCTGGAGAGAGAGAGAGGAGTGATAGCCAGAAGACAGAGGAGGGACAGCCAGGAGAGAGAGAGAGGAGAGACAGCCAGGGGAGAGGAGAGACAGCCAGGACAGAGAGGAAGGAGAGATGGCCAGGAGGAAGAGTGTGGAGAGACGGGCAGAAGAGAGGGATAGAGAGACAGCCAGGGGAGAGAGAGAGGAAAGACAGCCAGGAGAGAGAGAGGAGAGACAGCCAGGAGAGTGAGTGAAGAGAGACAGCCAGGAGAGAGAGAGGGGAGAAGGCCACGGCCGAGAGCCCGGAGAGACGGCCAGGGGAGAGAGAGGAGAGACAGCCAGGAGAGAGAGCAAGGAGAGACAGCCAGGAGAGAGAGCAAGGAGAGACAGCCAGGAGAGAGAGAAGAGACAGCCATTAGAGAGAGTGAGGAGAGGCAGCCAGGAGAGAGAGAGAAAGAGAGAGGAGAGACAGCCAGGAGAGAGCACAAGCAGAGACAAATATGTAAATCTTGGGTGAAAGTTGTGTGAAAACATTTATGAATAGACCCCATATTATTATGAATGCCTCTTGCTTAATTCATATGACAATACTTTATCAATAAAATAACAATCTACATTTAGGACAATGTAGACAAACACTATCAACTTCTACCATGAGCACTTTCTTCTATTAACTTTAAAGAGAAAATGTAAATGATATACTTTCAGTGAGCACATATTTTTGAAGGCAATAATTATACTTATTAATTATACTGCCCTGCTCTTCCATATTTGTATCATTGGATTAAGTATTTGGATGTTTAGACAAGCCACTAGACAAAGCTCTTGATGCAATTGCTCTTTCTCTTCACAGCTGTTGTGATAAGACATCAGCCACAGAGGGAGTACATTGTTTTTAAAGCTGAGCCAGTCGTCCTGCAAAACTGCATGCATGGTTTTTTCTGTGCAAATGGTGGCAAAAAAACAAATGTTATTGGTATATTTTCCTCCTTTTCAATAAGTTTTATTAACATTTTCAATAAAGAGAGTTGCAACTACTGTGTCACAAAAGCACAAATGGAATGCAAACAAATGTTCTCATAATTTAACAAGATAAATGTTCCGCTACATCTATTGTGAGAACAGGTTCTTTGAAGGCTGAATGTAATATATGGAAAATATGGAATTATAGCCACTAAGAGGAGCTGAGGAGCCTAGGAATTACTTTGTTTTTTTAAATATATGCACCCTTTAGACTTGCATTGGGAGAAGGTGCAGTGAAGCACAACCATAGCAGGAAGCAGAGTCTGTGTAATTACCATATACAGCTCCCTCCCCCCTTGAACATATATTCTATGGTGACGGCTGAAGGCATCTGCGAGCATGGCCACCAGTGCCATTCTTGATCTGGGAAAGCAGAGGCAGTGCCAGTAGCAAGATAGCGAGGCTTGCTGTAGCAGCAGGTGGTAGTCCTAGTAGGTAAATGGAGGGTCTGGGCTGGCCAGCAAGGGTCACATGTTAATAGATCTCTTACCAAGTGGCAGCCAGATACACAAAAATCTCAGCAAAACTGACAGTGCACCCAGCTGCCACCTACAGATATCATTGTTAGTGTTACTGGGAGAGGAGATATAGGTGGGAGCCAGGTCCACTGTTAGTGTCACTGGAATGGTGTACACTCAGTGCACCTGGCTCCTATTCACTATTACAATGACACTGACAGTCAGTGGCGCCACTAGGGGGGGGGCGGCCCGCACCCAGGTGACGCCATTGGAAGGGTGACACCAAAATGACTGACAGTCATTTTGGTGTCACCCCCTCTGAATAGCCGGGCACTCGGTCATGCGACCCAGCGGCATACCTTATCCCGCCGGGCGAACGTCCCCTCCTCTCTCTGCCAGCGTCCATCACCAAGATGGCCGCCGACAGGTTTCACCAAGATGGCCGCGCATGCCATGACACGCGGCCTCGAGCGCCCCTGCTGACAGTGAACCTGACTGCCACCAACAGGCTCTGTCGGTGTCACTGAAATGGTGTGTGCACATGGCTCTCACCTATCCACCATTCCAGTGACACTGACATTGCCTGTGTATAGCAGCCATGTCTACAGTCAGCCAAGTGCACACACCGTTCCAGAGACACTGACAGTGCACCTAGTTGCCACCTACCGGCACTGTCTATGTCACTGAAATAGTGTGTGCACCTGACTCCCCCCTCGCCACCATTCCATTAACACTGACAATGCAACTGGCTCCCACCTATAGGAACTGTTATGGAATGGTGGATAGGTGGGAGCCAGAGGCACTGTTAGTGTCACTGAAATGGTGTACACAGAGGGTACCTAGATCTCACCTATCTCCCTTTCTGTATATTCTGGACCTATAATTTCCACCTTTCAAGTCTCCTAAAATGCATTTTAAGGACAGCCATAAATATTGCAAATATACCATTCAGCTTCAAGAAAAACACTGCACTCCAGATCTGTTATAGTGATGTTCATCGCACTTCCACGTACATGTTTTTTCTCTGCAAACATTCTGCAGTTGGCCTACTGAGAAACCTTTATCATAGATTCTTCACAAATGGTGACTCAATGCTTCCCACACATCAATGCTCAACAGTAAGCAACGGTGTTCCTTGTGAGCTTTCACACTGCGGTCACTTTTGCTGATATATCACACCCCAAATGCATATAGTTATCTTGAGGACTCCAGTATCAAGTGGGTTTCAAGAATTTTGGATCTCACAAAGGTAGAGCGTATTTGTGTGGAGCTCCCGAGATGCTGGACATTCGAAGATGGTTGGTGGGTCCCGGTAATGATATCACTGATTTGTTTTGATCGCATGGAACTTTATCAGGGTACAGCACTGTTACAGGTACACTTCAGGTTTCACCCGAAAGCCACTTCAACTATGGTAACCCTATAATATCCAAAGTCATTCACCTACAGGAGTATCGCTTGTCATTGGTGTTATCACAATGCCCAACCTTAAATTATGTTCCTAAAGGGAATGAGAAACAAGGTGTGCACCAAGAAACAAGAAATAACCTACCCAGTGCCCCCACCCCCCTGTTATAAATACCTCTTATTTCAATTCAATAGAAAGTATAAATCCAGTGACCTTTTTGTGCTGCTAAATGTAATCAATTTGAGTTACCCTCAATGCACAACATTCCCTTTAAGTCCTGCTGAAGCAGGGCCATCTTTAATATTGATTGGACCCATGGCAAGCATTTTCTTGGGCTCCCACTCCCATGGGTTTACCTGCTTCTCTATGGTCTCCCTGCCCCCACTGCGCACTATGGGTGGGGGGGACCAGTGCTGGGTGCTGCCTCTGATGACACTGCGCCAAGGCATGCAAGAAGTTACCGATCGCTGCACTGCTGTAGATATGGACGAGCAGCTGATCTCAATCCGTGCACTGGATGGAAGTGGCCTCCTTGCTGCAGGTGTGTGTCCCTTGACCGCTCAGAGGCCTCCAGCTGCTGCGCTGTCACAGCGGGCTCATTTCATCTGTTGTTTTGGGCCCCACAACTGGGCCCGGGGTAACTGCCCCTTTTGCCCCGCCTTAAAGATGGCCCTATGCTGAAGAGGCATTATGGTAACATGCAAGGTCCAGTCCCAGAGAGATCTTTTCCTTCCTTGTAAGAAGCCACCGGTCCAAGTTCTCGCCTGTGATGGAATACAATCTCAGTTTAGTTTACTAGTTTGTATTGAAGTTATATTCCATCGTAGGAGCGAGTTTGGAGCTGTGGCTACTTTACAACAAACACAGGGACCATAGGGGACAAAAGTAGCCACCCTCTATAAGGAAGGACAGTGTCAGCACGAGTTTAGAGATGATTTGAGGATCTGCATCTGCTTTGGCGGTGGACTGTCCCATGGTGTCCTAATGTCTAATGCAGCTGAATTAGCAGACATCCCAGCTCTCCAGGACATTCTGGGAGTCCCCCGTAGAAGGTAGAAGCTCCCTGATGCCCACAAGAGAAACATTTTATCCTGGAAAGGTTTACTTCGCTCCATCTAGCAGAATAAACCTTTCCGGTATCCCTTGCTATCTGCTGTTACCTGCTATTTTTTTTTATCCTGGCGGTGGCGTCTGTGCTAACAACAAAGATGAATAGCTAGACTGCTATTTGCCATTTCAAATTGCAAAAGCCAATAGCAGGCCGGCTATTGCACCAGCCCACTGTTTTTCAAATTTTTTTATTCTGATGGCGGCAGCTGTCAGAATACAAAAAACCCCCAGCAGATTGCAGGGGAAGCATTATCTCCTCTGCTATCTGCTGATCCCCCTGCTAACAACCCCCCTCCCTGAAATTAGTTTTTGCAGGTTGGGATGTCTGAGATGTGATGACATCACGGGTCCTTAGTCTGCCGGTGCTCTGTCGAGAACGCCGACCCCGTCACATTTGCCGACCTCAGCATCTGCGTTTGTCCACAGACTGGAATTAACGAGGAAACACGCATTTATTCACAAAGTATTTTGTGGTAATGGTTAATTGTGATCGTTAATAACATGCCACCCATGGCAGTAAATGATGGATGGCATTTTATGCATATTCACAATGAATATTGTAAGCAATTACATGATAATGTAATTGCTTAAGATGTTAAGTTGTGAATATGAAAACAATTATATCCATCATTTACTTCCATGCTGCATATTATTAACGGTCACAATTAACAATTACAAATGAATACTTTTCAAATAGATGCCCGTTTTCTCGTTAATACCGGTCTATGCGCATGGGCAGATGCGGAGGTCGGCAAATGTGACGGGATCGGCGTTCTCGACACCACACCGGCGTTCTCGACAACACACACTCGTGTCACGTGACCACCAGGCCAGCCTGACTTTCAGTACCACAATGAAGGGAAAGTGAACAAGCGCAGTGAGCACAGAGAGCGACGGGGACGTGCACGTAGCCAACCCTTATCACGAGCACGTCCAGCTATCACTGCGCGCGTGCGCGGTTTTGGTCCCTTAGTCCCGCCCCCGTGCAGTGTATTGTGGGAGCCGGATTTAAACAGTGGCGGTCAGTAAACAAGGCGGCCCGGTGTTTGCATGACTTGGCAAGTCACCATGGCGGCCGTGGACGGGGGATTTTGGGGTTCCCGTGACAGCGGGTTTTCCGCAGCTTGGGAGGACCCAGAGATGTCGAAGAAATGCGAAAGGTACCCGTGGCCTATACACGTTCTGGCTGCCCCATTGCGGGAAGCAGTGTTATAACGCAGAAGACATGACACATGCAGCTGTATTCAATGCACGAGGGAAGGGGGGTAGGCAACCCTTGTAGTCCAGCTGTGGTACAACTACACATCCCAACATACATCTGTCTCTGAAAGTCATGCCTGTGGATATGAGAGTCTTGCAATGCCTCATGAGACTTGTAGTTCCACAGCAACTGGAGAGTCCAGTTTGTCTATCTCATAGCAAGCAATACAAATCCATGTTATTGAAGCTAGCCAGTACATTATGGGTTCTGATTGGTTGCTATGGGATACTGTGAATAAAAATAATCTGCCCACTTATGACACAGTGACAGGTTCTCCTTACAGGTGATGTCCTATTGCTGTGTCATTTGGCCCTGGGAATATCTGGTACTTCTGGGGGGTCATGTGACCTGCTGTCACTCTAGGGATGCTTAGACCTAAGTAGCCAGTTGCCATGTCTGGTCACTGTCATGTGGGGGAGGGGAGGGGAGGAGGTCATTAACCAATTATCTTCTGCTCTAATGTGACCCAAAAAATAAGGAAAGACAAAAAAATGTTTAGTTTTTCTCTTTTTAATGGAGTCACTCAGAGCCAAGCATGTTATTGCAGCACAGATCAGCCCTAAATCTCATTTACAACCTTACCCTTCATATAACAGACTTTCATTGTACAGGACCAGGCCTGGTAATCTAGATCACATATAAGCAATGGTTTATATTGTGTTATTTGGGCTGTAACTGGGTATGTCATGTCTGGGATTTATTACGCTATTTGCTAATGATATTTTATATTCATTTGTTTTTGGGAATGAGTTTTTTTTTGGCTCAGCTCTTACCCTTGTGTTGTTCTTTATTAGGTATGGAGAAAAGGCCAAGGCTGAAGCAAAGAATGGCGGTGAGTGGGTGGACGGAGGATTTCGGAGCTCCGGTGATGTCAGCTTGTCAGCAGCTCGGGTGGACCCGGACGTGGCAGAGAAATACGAGAGGTAACTGTAGGGGGGTAGCCATGTTCTGGCTGCCCCATTGCTGGGGGCACTGTTATAGGGGTGAAGACATAACACATGCAAGCAATAAATAATCCAATGGGCAGAAGCCAGACAAGTGTAGTGTGGATTGTGACCAGGGGTACACTAATGTCTGGGCTGATATTCACAACATTTTAAAGTATCAGTCTTGAATTGACCTGGGGGGCGGCTCCCCTCCATTGCCATCACTAGTAGGGGGTCGACTGATCCCAGGCACGCTGCCTGCTGTTAACATTCGGCTGCCAGCAGATGAACACATAGCCCAGTCACTGGACTTATGTGTTCATCTGCTGGTGCAAGATTTCCGCAGCCGCATGTAAACAGAATATCGGTCACTGGTATCGGTTATCAGCCTGAAAGGCGGTCCGTAATCAGTATGCGTTCTGAAGAAAACATATTGATCAACCCCTAATTCTGAGTGGTTGCTATGGGTTACTGTGTTTTACAAAGAATGTCCACTCATGACTAAGTGACAGGTTCTCTTTACAGATTATATCATTGCTGTGCTATTCACTCTTGGAAGTACCTGGTACTTTTGGGTGTGGAGGTGCATGTGACTTCCCATCACTCTCGGGATGTAATGCTTGGACCTGAGTGGCCAATTGCAAGGCCCAATCAGTGTCATGCCGGGGTGGGGAGACGGTCATTAAAGAACTCCAGGAAAACATGTATTAACCCTTGCAGTGGGGCTACCTCTGCACTGCAAAGGTTAAGTATTTGTTTTTGCCTAGGGTAAAAAAAAAAGGGAGTCAAGTAGTGAGAATAAAGTTGACATCCCTGGAACATGTACTTTCAAAAGCCATTTCAAGCTGTCAGCCACCATGTTTCTCTGCTGGTAGGTTCCCTTTAATATTCTTTAAAGGAGAACTATGGGGTTAGGGCATAGTTCACAAACTAGCGTCCTCCCGTTACCCTAAGCTCAGTATACCGCGAGCTACAGCTCGCGGTATAAGCCCATCACATTGATAGGCCAGTAGTAAATCCTCAAAGGCAGAAGTGGTCAGTTCACTGTCTGGGGAAAATTGTTCAGTAATGGCATTGCAGCATAGCCCAGGTGTTGGCAGTCCTGGAATACACTACAGCAGGCGTCTGAAACTCAAATGACCTGGGGGCCACTGGGCACGTTTTCTTTTTCCATGGGGACTGCTTGAGGAAAGACAGCCAGGGGAGAGCGTGAGGAGAGATGGTGAGTAACACATATGCCTGAAGCAGAACCCCTGTGCCCTTCAAGACTCATCTGCACCCTGTGTTTCAGACACCACCCTGCTCCCCAAGTTCTAGCGTTCCTCTGTGTCCTGTCTCTCCTCCATGCACTCCAGTGATCCGTAGTTGCCCCTGTCCACCTGACATCTTGTGTACAGGTTTCAGCTGGGCTGAAACCTGGACACAGCACATACAGGACTCAACATGTACTGTCCAGGGGTTCCCGGACAGGAGGCAACCCTAGCTATGCCCCTGGCTGCTGCAAAAGGTAAGTACCCCCCTGCTGACCTGATGGGGCCCGGACTTGCTATAGCAGGGCCAGCTCTACCCCCCCATATGGACCAAAAGTAACTGGTCCGCGGGCCGATACTTTGAGACCCCAGCAATACAGGGAAGCATATTCAGATGAAGTAATGTGTAACACTTATGCACATTTATTAGTTCTGATGTCTGAGCACCAGCAGGCTCCGTCAGTGCTCACTTAATTTTGAA